AAAAAAAAAAAAAAGAATGTCTACTTCAAAGTGTGGTGACTCACACCTGTAATCCTAGCACTCTGGGAGGCTGAGGTAGTGGATTGCTTGAGTTTAGGAGTTAGAGATCAGCCTGAGCAAGAGTTAAATCCCATCTCTAAAAATAGCATTGTGGCGGGTGCCTCAGCTACTTGGGAGGCTGAGGCAAGAGAATTGCTTAAGCCCAAGAGTTTGAGGTTGCTGTGAGCTGTGATGCCATGACACTATACCCAGGGCGACAGCTTGAGACTCTATTGCAAAATAAATAAATGTACCTTAGGAGCCAGGAATAATGGCTCATGCCTATAATCGTAGCACTTTAGGAGACCAAGTAGTTTAGACTGGCCTGAATAACATTGTGAGACCTCTGTTTCTACAAAAAAAAAATAAGAAAAATTAGCCATGTGTGCTGGCACATGCCTGCAGTCTCAGCTACTCGGTAAGCTAAGGCAAAAGGATGGCTTGAGCCTAGGAGTTTGAGCTCACAGGGAGTTATGATGATGCCATTACACTTTAGCACGGTGGCAGAGCAAGACCCTGTCTCAAAAGAAAAACAAAAACACATTACATTGTCCCTTTATGTAAGGACTATTAAGCATTGCTTCTTTTGGCTATTATATTGATACTTTAAATAATGGAAAATCATTTTCTTTTTGATGTTTAAAAACAGATTGATTAAACTATAATTCATATGCCATGAAATTCACTCATTTTAAGTGAACAATGATACTTTTTGTTCTTGGTAACTTTACAAAGTTGTACCATCATCACAATCTAGTTTTAGAACATAAAAAGAACGCATGTGCCCCATTTGTAGTCATTTTCATATCATTAATTTACCATGCCCAATGGCCAATGTGATTTTTTACAACTGACTATAAAATATGATAAAAATGAGCATTGTAGAATTTCTGAAATTATTTAGTATTCTACATTTGTTTCTTTTAAAGGTTTGATAATTTAGAGCATGGGCATTTTCTTTGATGCTGTTTCTTTATTTGGACACCAAAATTATTTAATAAGAGAGAGAATTGTGAGAATAATTTGAGTAAGAGGTGATTACCTTTGGAAAATGAATTTTAGTGTATGTGCTGCTGAATTGAGCACGGGAATTTAATTTTAAAATTTGCTTCTTATTTGGAGGTTACAAATAAATCAATGAATAGAAGGAAGTTATTCAGTAAATGTAAAGTTACAAATTTATTCAAGTATTTGAATTCAAAGGGTTTGATGAAGAAATTAATAATGTCTTTTAAGTAAGACTAAGATTTTATATAATAATGTTTACAAAGATTATCATAAAATTAATTTGTTTTGTTTTATTTCCTATATTTTAGCTTCCCAGAATCAAGAACGGCTATGTGCATTTAAAGACCCCTATCAGCAAGACCTTGGGATAGGTGAGAGTCGAATCTCTCATGAAAATGGGACAATATTATGCTCAAAAGGTAGCACCTGCTATGGCCTTTGGGAGAAATCAAAAGGGGACATAAATCTTGTGAAACAAGGCAAGTGATACTTTTCTTATCTGAAATGACTTTGTGTTTCATATAATTAAAATTCATCTAAAAAGGACATGGGAGTAGATTAAAATCCTGTCCAGAAAATAAGTAAATTTAAAATTATAACTAACTCTAGCTACAAACCCCAAATTTATAAAAGGTAATTTATCTTTGCTTATTTTTATAGCATCTTTCTTATTATCATGTTCTATGTGCTCTTAGCATGAAATTTAGGAAATACAGAAAACTGTAGAGAAAAACAAAAATCTCTACTAATGTACTCTTTTTAAAATACTAGTTTATCTCCTTCACAGGGGTTTTCTCCATACTGCTATGTTTATATGCATGCATACTTTCTTTCCCCGAAGTTAGGAGGATACCGTATAAATAATTTTGTACCCAGTTTTTTCCACCTTAATCATATCATGAGCATCTTTCCGTGTCTTTAAATATTCTCTGAAAACATTTTTAATCTCTGCACAATATTTATTGTATACATATATCGAAATTTACTTCCAGATTATTCTGTTGTGTAAGAGATTGTGTCATTTTCATGGTTTTACTGTAATATATAATATTTCAGTAAACAATTTTGAATATAAAATCTTTGTATGTGATTGTTTCCTTGAACTAGATTTTTTGTTATAAAATAGGTTAGAAAATATATGAATATTTTAAAGGCTCTCCATAAAAATTTCCATGTGGTTTTATTAATTATTTTATTTTATTTTATTTTATTTTATTTATTTGTTTTGAGACAGAGCTTCAAGCTATTGCCCTAGGTAGAGTGCCATGGTGTCACAGCTCACAGCAACCTCCAGCTCCTGGACTCAAGCGATTCTCCTGCCTCTGCTTCCCAAGTAGCTGGGACTACAGGCACCTGCCACAATCCCTGGCTATTTTTTGGTTGTAGCTGTCACTGTTGTTGGTGGGCCCAGGCTGGATTCAAACCCTCCAGCTCAGGTGTATGTGGCTGGCACCTTAGCCACTTGAGCCACAGGCTCCGAGCCTAATTAAGTATTTTAAAGACAGAGTGTCATTCTGTTGTTGATGCTGGAGTACAGTGACACAGTCATACCTTCCTGCTGCTTCAGACTCATATACTCAAGTTATTCTCATGCTTCAGCCTCCTGAGCAACTGGAACTATTGGCATGCAGCATCCCGGCTAATTTTTTTCTGATTTATATATATACATTTTTGAGACAAGTCTCACTCTGTCACCCTCAGTAGAGTACTGTGGTGTCACAGCTCATGGCAACCTCCAGCTCTTGGGCTTAGGCCATTCTCTTGCCTCAGCCTCCTGAGTAGCTGGGACTACAGGCGCCCACCACAATGCCCAGCTTTTTTTTGTTGCAGTTTTGCTGGGATTAGGCTCAAACTCGCCACCCTCAGTATATGGGGCTGGTGCCCTACTCACTGAGCCATAAGCACTGCCCCTGATTTATGTTTTTAGAGCTGGGGGTCTCATGTATTGCCCAGGCTGGTCTCAAACTCCTGGCTCAAGCAATCCTCCTATCTAGCGAACCCCCCCCCCCAAATATTGAGATTACAAACAGGAGCCACTATGCCTGGCCTCCACATGGCTTTCTAAAAATACTATTTGTTTACATTCCATCTAGCATTGTATGAGAGTGTTTGTGTTACTGAATCCTTGTTATGATTTGTATTATTATTTTTTAAACCTAGAACAATTTAATTGGTACAGATAAAAATGAAATCTTCCTGCTACTTTAATAATTCTTCAGTTAATCATAGATTTAACTTTATTCTTGTTTTCTTTATTCCTATGAAATGTCTGTTATTGGGCGGTGCCTGTAGCTTAGTGAGTAGGGCGCCAGCCCCATATACCAAGGGTGGCAGGTTCGAACCCAACTGAAAAAAAAAAAAAAAAAGAAATGTCTGTTATTACCTTTGCCATTTTTGTTTCTTAAAAAATGTATTTCCTATTGATTTGCAAAACTTTTTACTCACCGTCTCATATTTATTGCAATTATTTCTCAGTTTGTCGTTTCTTTTTGGTTTATTTTGTTGTTTATTAACTTGTTTACATTAATATTGATTCACAGGATGTTGGTCTCACATTGGAGATCCCCAAGAGTGTCACTATGAAGAATGTGTCGTAACTACCACTCCTCCCTCAATTCAGAACGGAACATACCGTTTCTGCTGTTGTAGCACAGATTTATGTAATGTCAACTTTACTGAGAATTTTCCACCTCCTGACACAACACCACTCAGTAAGTAGTAAAAAGAACTTACTTTTCTTTATATTTTCTTTCTGCAACGATTTGCAAAATATAAAACAAATACCCAAAATATTCAGGGTTAGTAGGAGTGAGAAGACTTCTAGCATTATGAGATTATATCTAGCAAACAAATGAAATTCAAAAGAGTTGCACCAGGATTTCCAAGGCATCAGTATAATACCAAATAAGTTTAAACCAACATATAATATTTTCTTGTAAGGAAAGAAATTTGGCAATATTAAGAAAACTGGGTGGCGCCTGTGGCTCAAAGGAGTAAGGCGCTGGACCCATAAGCTGGAGGTGGCAGGTTCAAACCCAGCCCCAGCCAAAAACTACAAACAAACAAACTACATGTGTGCTTACTCTTCTACACGTTTGTCATTTCTAGGAATTTATTTGGAGGATACATCTTTAATGGTACAAAATACATATGCATAGAATTATTTGTTGTAGTATCATTTGTAACTGCATGATATTGAAAGTAAACATGAAGAATAGGAGATTAGTTGAAATTTACTATGGTATATACATGTAATGGAGTTGTAACTATACCTCTATAAGAAAAATATAAGGCCTGTAATCCTAGCACTCTGTGAGGCTGAGGCAGGTGGATCGCCTCGGCTCAGGAGTTTGAGACCAGCCTGAGCAAAAGCAGGACTCCATCTCTAAAAATAGCTGGGCATCGTGGCAGGTGCCTGCAGTCCCAGCTACTCAGGAGGCTGAAGCAAGGGGATCTCTTGAGCCCAAGAGTTTGAGGTTGCTGTGAGTTATGACACCATGGCATTCTACCAAGGGTAACAAAGTGAGACTCTGTCTCAAAGAAAAAAGTAAGATCTCTACAAACTGAAATGTATTAATTTCCAGAAATAATGTTAGGTACAAAAAAACATTTTGTGTAAGACTGGATGGAATAAGAAAGCATATCTATTATCTACTTATCTTTTTTTGTTTGGTTTTTTTTTTGAGACTGAGTCTCACTTTCTCACCTTCAGTAGAATGCTGTGGTGTCACAGCCCACAGCAACCTCAAACTCTTGGGCTTAAGTGATTCTCTTGCCTCAGTGTGCCAAGTAGCTGGTACTACAGGTACCTGCCACAGTACCTGGCTATTTTTTTTAAGAGATGAGGTCTTGCTCTGGCTCAAGCTGGTATCGAACTCATGAGCTCAGGCAATCCACCTGCCTCAGCCTCCCAGAGTGCTAGGATTACAGATATGAGCCACCAACCATGGGCATTATCTACTTATCTTTACAAAAAGAAAAACATGAGTCAGAAAATAATGAAGTTACTTACAAGGGACACAAGGAATGGGGCAGAAAGGATATAAAAAGGAGTGCTATTCTCTGAGTGTAGCTTTTTATATGCAGTTTTTACTATAAATATCATGTCACCATTTTACATATGCAAAAAAATAAAATTAAATCATTTAGGGTAGAAAGGGGGGAACAAAAAAACCTCAAACTGAAATCAAGTAAAATAATCATACTGAAAGGAAAAAGAAGAACTAATCCAAATAATTTACACAGTATTTAGCAATGTACACTCTTTTGGACAAGATGGGATATAAAGGTGGGAGGAGAACTGCAAACACTCTTTTTAGAAGATTTGTTTCTTAGTAGTATGGGCAAAGAATTCTGAAACAGTTGTAGATGTACTATAGGATTAAGAAAATAAGTTAATATTCTTGAGATCCAGAGTTTTTACTGAAGAGACAGGGTCACACAATTATTGAATGGAGAAGAGAAACCTAAGTGAATAGATTGCAATTCAGATTATCAGTATAATTGATAATTATAGTGATAGAACTTGAGATTTTGGAAAAAATATATACATGTATATGGATATTTTATATGACTCTGTATAATGTACATGCATATATATATTGATATGTATTTTGTTTATATATATACATATATTTCTTGGTTCTATTCATTGAAAAGGACAAGAAGCAACAGTACCCCAGTAGCAGTGAGTATGCATAATGTTCAGATCTTAGTCTCTGATAGCATTTCTCACTTAACAGGTACCAGGGCTACTTGAAAATATGACTTATTCTAGGATTGGAACAGGATAGGTGCAAGATAAGTCTGAAACATCTTGTAATGTAGTGTTTATAATGCAAAAAGTAAGGAACAAAGTACCCAAAATATAATGAAGACTTGTCAAAGGACACAGGAGCCAGCTTGAAGGAACTGCCACTGGCTAAATCTGGGTCAATTTGAAATCTAAAATAAGTACAGTATTGAATTGTAAACCAATTGGAAGGAAAATGAATCATGAGTAGAATGTTAAATAGCAACTGATAAATTTAGGAATGCTGCAATTGGCAAATCATCATTCTACAGCTATCATTTTAAGGATCTGATCAGCAAGAATCATCAAAGAATCCTAAATGTAGGGACATTTTCAATGAGGAGACAGGATATTTGCATGGTTTCAAGGTGTCTCCTGCATAATAGCAAGGGAAAAATTAGTAATTATAAAATGTGGAAACTGGGCATTTTGACAAAGTGATTAGAATTAACACCATTAAAGAAAGGCAGATGGGGCTGGGTGTTTTGGCTCATGCCTTTAATCCTAGCACTCTGGGAGGCAGGTGGATTGCCCTAGCAAAGGCGAGATCTCACTCTACTAAAAAGGGAAAAACTAGTGGGCGTTGTGGCACGTGTCTGTAAGTGCCAGCTATTCAGGATGCTGAGGCAAGGGGATCACTTGAGCCTGAGAGTTTGAGATTGCTATGAGCTATGACACCATGGCCCTCTACCTAGGGCGATAGTGTACCCAGGTCAACAAAGTGAGACTCTGCCTTAAAAAAAAAAAAAGAAGATGGAAAACTATGACACATGGAGGATACAACATTGCTAATATGGTACTATATTCCAGTCAAGAATGTATAACCTGAATTGAATCATAAGGAAATACCAAACAAACCATAAGTTGTGAATATTACAAAAGGGGTTATATTCTTCAAAAACTGTCAGTGTCATATAAGATAATGAAAGGCTGTGGAAAAGGCCTAGATTAGAGGAAAAGAAAGACTTGACAAAAGAGAAGCAGTACCTCTTTTTTTACTGGAAGGAAAAAAATATGATAAAGGACATTTTTTGATCAATTGACAAAATAGATGATTAGAAAAAAATATTATTCAGTGTCAAACTTCCTAAAGTGGGTACCAATACTGTGATTTTATGAGAGGATATCCATATTCTTTGGAAATACTCTTAAGATATGTTTAGGAATAGGGGCTGTGATTTATATAAATTACTGTGTAGTGGTTAAAATACTGCATGTATGTGTTTGTGAATGTAGGAAAGGAGAATAAAAGGAAATGTGGGAAAATGGTAGCAATAGGTAATCTGGGTAAAAGTATATAGTGTGTTCTTTGTATTATTCTTGCAGCGAATCTGTAGGTTTTAAATTATTTATTT